TCAAAAGAAAAGCGGACGAAAAGCCAGGAGAAAATTTACTCAAATAGTTGTAGTAGTAGCAGCAACATCTTCTACGAGGGACAGCATCAAAAACAGTGTCTACGAGATGCAGAAACCGTCTCGTAGTAAAAAAAAAATCTAGACAAGATTGAGAATATAAAAAGATCGTCAAGATTACCATCTTCTGCCATTGATAAAATTAACATTTATAAATATTCTAATCCCATGTAATCTTCTACATGAAGGAGAAGTTTATGTTTTCACTAGGAAATCCGACATAGACATTTTTTATTGTAATTGTTTGAACAGCAATCAGTACTCTTATATGTTCTAAAAGCTGTTGGTCAAGATTTATGACTTATTTCATGAGAGGCAATCCATCGATTTACCATTCTCTTATGTGTGGGATATTTTTGATATATTAGCTCTTACGTCTAATAGTTACATATGATTGGATGTTGCAGCTATGTCCACGAAGGACGATTTCCACTTGGAATTATATTGTAATCTATAACCTCAAGTAGAAATTTGACATCAAAGCTGCCTGATGTCGGGCTATGGCGGTAGCGGGAATCGAACCAGCGAACCTGGGACCCGACATAGACATAGACATAGACATATATTTCAATAATTATGAATGTGTACATAACACTTCCAATTTTGTTCGGAATTCTACCCGCAGGTATATCATCCCTCACATCAGTTCTATCAATACAATAATAAGTATTTTAAATATAAAAGGTGTGATGCAATTGTGTGACAAAAAAACAGGAAAGAAAAATTTTCCTCCAAAAATTCACATAACATCATTTATAATTATAAATGATTAAAACGAGAAAATCCGATTTGCTATTTGCTTTTTCGACGTTTTGAGTCATTTTGAAACGAATTAGACCAATTTTGGAAAAAGTATGTGTGCGTGTATGTATGTGAGGCAAATTTTTAACTTTTCTCGAAGCCATTTAATGTAGGTCAATAGGTAGTGAAGACTGGTTGTGCCAGGGTACGGCAGTAACAGTCGTCATAAGAGCGAAACTATTCTGATTCTGAGATAGGGTTCAAGAGGAGAAATATGTAGCACATTGGTTTAAATAAGTTTCCATCCTTGTTTTCAGTCAGCACCTGACATGAACACTATCTGTTGATCGCATTGCTTTTATAGAGTCAAAAGAAAGTATTTTTGTTCGATTTCTTTTTAATGATAACTGTTACTTATATACGGATAGAAACTTTGTCTGTTATTCTGTAAGTTGAGCATTAGTAGTTAATTAGCATAAATTGGTTTTTAACTTCCCTTAGGGTAAGTTATAGTAATCGCAGAAAAATCGAAAATGAAATTTTTTATATATCTTAACGTTTCAAAGGTTTTTGAACATTTTGGCATATCTTAGAAAAAACGGATGTATGTGTGTGTGTATGAGTGTGTGCGTGTGTGTGCGCATACTTTCGGAGATACAGGCAAAAAGTGCCAACAATGGTATTTCCGTTTTTGAGATAACGGAGCGTCCGATTTAAATAATTCAAAAACATTTTACTTGTGTTGACGAATTGAACAACTCGTGAAATTTTTGTAAAGGCAGATCCAGAGTCTCCGGAGATCCAACAAAAACATTAACTAGCGGTGTATGGCATCGTAACTTAAGGCAAATTGCTGCTACTTCCCGTAACGTAACGAAATGTTCGAAGAATATTAAATGTTTTCAAAAGATTATTATAAATATTGTAACATTGTCTAATATTTTTAAGAATTATATAAACTGAATAGCAAAGTTGACATTATTTGTTTAAAGTATATCAGAACTTTAGTCAAAATTAAAAAAAAATATTATACAAAAAAAATTGAAACAATTTTTTTTTTCAAAAACAATTATTTTGTTGAAACAAGCAGTAAGTTCTTGGAATCAATCAATACGGATGCTTATTTTTCTCAAAAACTGCAATTTTTTGTTCTGTATCTTCGAAATGGCTGGGCCCGCCTTTGCCAAAAACTAATAGCCATTTCCCCAATCATTATACTAATTGAATATTTTTTAGATCATTCAAATCGGATGCTCCATTCTCTTAAAAACACTATTTCTATTTTCTGCCTCTTTGCTCCTTCTACTCGTAACGGCTGGACCTGCCTTTGCCAATATCTAATCAGCACATCTCCCTATCAATAGAAATCGAATGTTTTTTGAACCATTACAAATCGGTTGATGCGTGCGTCCGAAAACGTGAACAAAAAAACACACACATGCATTTTTTCTGAGGTATACCAAAATGTTCAGAAATCTTCAAACCGTCGAGAAATGCAAAAATTTTCATTTTAGATTTTTACCAAAAACTAATCAGCACGATTCCCAACCAATATTTTTCGAACGGTTTTTGAATTTTCATAATCGATTGAAAATTGCGGGCTAAAACGTGGACGAAAAATTTTTCACTTTTCTGCTATTTATAAAGAAACGTCTCGGCCGATCGTCGCACAAAACTGGCTTTTAAATTTTTGAAATCGTCGATTCTAGAAAACGTCGATTTACGGCAGAAAATCTGTTCACATAAACACACACACACATACTTTTTCCAAATTTGGTCTCTTTCGATTCAGAATGGCTTGAAACGTCGAGAAAACATAATACTAGCAAATCGGATTTTTTGAGCAAAAACTGCAAAAAATGCAGTTTTTGAGAAAACATTAACTTCTCCTTTGGGAAGTTACAAATACCATTTGGCGGTCAAAAATTATCATTAGACATATGTACATTGTATTATCAGATGATTTATAAAGATTATAGTAATAAGTACAAATTTTGTGTACATTTATATGGGTTCCGTACCAATGTTTACGCGTTAGACAAATACGCGGCGCTTACGCGCTTTGATATTCGACTTCAAATCAGCAATGCAACGCGATTGCTTGAAAAAATGTTCAAGATTTTCAAAAAAAAAATCAAAATACAAAAAAATCAATATATTAAACAAATAATTTTTTTCAAAAAAGTCATTTTTTTCAAAAAAAATCATAATTTTGCAAAAATCTAATTGTTTCAAAGTTTTGCAAAGTTTTCTTTTAATATAGTTTTCGTTACTGGAAGTTCCAGCAATTTTCCTTAAGCCGCGATGCCATGTACCACTGGTTTAATTAATGCATGATTAAAATTCGCCAATTTCTCCTCATTAAGGGCACCATCGAAAAAACGAGCATCGTCGACTGGCGCCTGTCGGAATTTTAAAAACATTCCTCTACGCAATTAACGTCGTAATGCGCGCACACATATCGCTCGATGAACACGGAATTCTTTATAACTTCCAACATCAGAATGCTCGAATGTTGAACATGTACGAAACCAAAATAGAAGATGCACTCGACTACTACTTATATTTACATATTCAGAAGATTAGGGACAAGAATTTATTCGAATAGTTGTTTGTCGTCAAGTCATGAATAATTTTTCAACTCTTGAAATATTACTCTTCTTATCGAACGAGTTGTTCTACTATTTCCTAAACTATATTTTTGCGCGTAAAATTCTCAAGAAATATAACTAATAAATAATAAGTAATAATAAAGTATAATTAATTAATTATAAGTGTAATTTTATGCAATTAAAAAATCGAAAGCATGAAATTTAATCTGAACTTAAATTTAACAAATCTCACAATTCTATCAGAATCAATCATTCATTATAAGAAATTCAAAGTTCTATTAAATTTACTACTTACATCATGCTAAAATTTAACTTTATACAAATAAAAATTTGTATTTTGTTTCAAGTTCTTGAACATTCTGGTATACCTTATAAAAAAATTGATACACATATCCATTGTGTTTGTGTGTATGTGCATATATATGAATACATTTTTGCGTCTACGATTACAGGAGCATGAATTAACCAATCAAATGAAATAAAAGATTGATAACATTTTTGCGAAGGCAAACCCAGCGGTTTAGGAGATGCACTCCTTTTTTAAATTGAGATTTGTCGGTCAAATATGATCTTTAGTGATTCATATATAAATAGAGTTATTGGTTAATAAGAAGATAGATAGAATTAAATACAGGTAGACTGGTAGACAATTTGTCTACCAGTCTTCCTGTATTTAATTCTATCTATCTTTGTCTTTGTCTAAGACAAAGAACAGGTATTAAAGTGTAAATGAAGTAAATTATATAAGTAAGCAAGTTGGCAGTTTTGGGAAGTTCATACAACTTTCCACAAAAAAAAATTCACTACCAGCTTCTTTATTTTAGTAAAGGTATGAATAATATTTTTTATTACAATTGTACTCAAGAAAAACTGAAATCTTTCACATTTTAAATATTTGAAGTACATTTACTTAAAATTTTCAAATCTTTTAGAAAAGAAATAGTTACCGACTTCAAAAACTGACTACATCAATTAATTCATATGGGTGTTAAGTCAGTCAACAAATCAATAATTGATTGACAATAAAAAAAGTGACGAAAATCAGCTATGATTTTGTATATTGTTAATATTATGATCATATATTTATCATTTCAGTAAAATCAGTAAAAGAATTGCTAGAGTAGATAATTAAAAACTACACATGTAAAGAATTGATAAATGATAATTACTATGAGGATAAAATAATTAGGAAAAACAAAAAAATAATAAAAAAATCAACAAGCCTACGCAGCTATTACTTTAGTGTGAAGTTTTATGAAGATTGAAAATTTCCAGTAGTTATCATTTTTATTTTTTAATATTCATTCTATTATTAAAGTGCTCAGAAAAGCACCAACATTAAAAGTTGTTCCTATAAAGATTCATATTCCATTGATAGAATATAAATGAGCGGTGTAAAAGAATCCTCAGGCTTCATATATATAAATACTACTTGAATTTCAAATAAAACAATGTTTTTCTTTGCACATACGTCAATTTTGCATTACGTTTGAAACAGCATATGGAGAAAAAATCCAATAGATTCTCTTGTTTCAAAATACGTAACTAGTTACAGACATACACGGTGACAAAGTAGGATTTGTTTGTTACCTGTAGATGGGTGTGCCCATGTCTTCGCGATACCAAAGCACCAGGATAACATGATCGCCTTGCTCGCTGGTGCCGATGTCGCAGGGTAAATGAGCGGGCTCTCCAGACAGGGCCTCCACCGTCGTCATGGGCACTGAAATACAGAAATAAAACTAGCTGTAAGTGGAATTCTGTCTTAAGGCAATTAGGGCATCGTGCCTTAAGGCAAATTGCTGGAACTTCCCGTACCAAAAATTATTATTTTTTTAAAAACGATTAATATTTAAAAAAAAAAATACTTTGAAAAAATAAGATTTTTGAGAAACTATAAATTGGACAAAAAAATAGTTTTTTTTGAAAAAAAAAATTTTTTTAAAAAAAATTAAAAAAAAAAAATTTTTTTTTGAAAAATTTTTTTTTTCTTTATTTTGACATATTGTGGAAGATCTGAACTTTTTTCAAAGAAATCGTACTGCTTTAACTGCATAAGGACAAAATATAAAGCGCGTAAGCGCCGCGTCGCTGTCTAACGCATAAGCATTGGTACGGAACCCATAGGAATGTTAACAAAATGTATACTTATTGTTAAAGACTCTATAAATTATCTGATAATTTGATGTGCATATGTCTAATGATCATTTTTGACCGCCAAATGACTCATTTTTTTACTTTTTCCTCTATATCTCCAAAACCGCTGGACCTACCATCATGAAAATTGTATCGATGATTCATCTTGTCAATACAAATACAATGTTTTTTGAATTATTCAAATCGGACGCTCCGTTCTCTTGAAAACGGAGGTACCGTTTTTGGCACTTTTTGCCCCGTATCTTCGGAACGGCTAGACCTGCCTTCGCCAAAAACTAATCAGCACGTCTCCTTATCAATACAAATCGAATTTTTTTTGAATTATTGAAATCGGTTGATCCGTGTTTCCGAAATCGTCGACGAAAATTTGTATCCGCACATACATACACACACGCACATACATACATACATACATACATACATACATACATACACACACACACACACATACATCCATTTTTTCTAAGGTATGCCAAAATGTTCAGAAACCTTTGAAACGTAAAGATATATAAAAATTTTCATTTTCGATTTTTTTGCGATTACTATAACTTGCCCTACGGGAAGTTAATTAAACTAGCTGTAAGTGGAATTTTGTCTTAAGGCAATTAAGGCATAGTGCCTTCAGGCAAATTGCTCGAACTTCCCGTACCAAAAATTATTATTTTTTTAAAAACGATTAACATTTTTGAAAAAAATTTACTTCGAAAAAATAAGATTTTTGACAAACAATTAGACAAAAAATTACTTTTTTTTGAAAAAAAAATTTTTTTTTAATTTTTTTTTTTGAAAAAAAAAATGTTTTCTTTATTTTGACATATTTGGAAAGATCTTAACTTTTTTTCAAAGCAATCGTACTGCTTTAACTGCATAAAGACGAAATATCAAACCGCGTAAGCGCCGCGTCGACGTCTAACGCGTAAACATTGGTACGGAACCCATAGAAATGTAAACCAAAATTATACTTATTGTTAAAATATCTATAAAGTATCTGATAATTTGATGTGCATATGTCTAATGATCATTTTTGACCACCAAATGGCATTTTTTTTTACTTTTTTCATTAGATCTCCGAAACCGCTAGACCTGCCTTTATGAAAATTAGATTGGTTCTTCACCTTGTCAATACAAGTAAAATATTTTTTGAATTCTTAAAATCGGACGCTCAAAAGATCAGACGCTGCCTTCGCCCAAAACTAATCAGCACGTCTCCTTATCAATACGAATCTAATGTTTTTTGAATTATTCAAATCGGTTGATCCGTGTTCCCGAAATCGTCGACGAAAATTTGTATCCGCACATACATACACACACATACATACATACATACATACATACACACACACACACACATACATCCATTTTTTCTAAGGTATGCCAAAATGTTCAGAAACCTCTGAAACGTAAAGATATATAAAAATTTTCATTTTTGATTTTTTTGCGATTACTATAACTTGCCCCACGGGAAGTTAAAAATTAGACTATTTCATTCCGTTATGCCAAATGCATCTTCGAAAATGGATTAATTTAATATTACATTATAATTAATTACGTTATAATTAATTTAATGTTACATTTCGTGAAGAGACCTTCTACGTTCGAGTATTTATCTTAAATATGCAATAAAATCAAAACATTTATTATAAATAACTAACATATTTGATGTGCTAAAAATTGTGATAAACACACACACAACAATGTTAAAAAAGTGAATAATGTAATATGTCAAAGTAATTATGTCAAAAAAGAAATATAAAAACAATATTATCATAAGTGTGTTCCAATATAGGAACACGTAGGGGGAAGTCCCGTAACGCCGGACGGCACCAACCACCGGACGCTCTATTTAACACAAATTATTTAAGCGAGTATAAATGGTTTCATTTCAAAATACAAGTGAAAGGGGCACTGGTGGCACACAGGTACAGGATCACGTGCCAAGCTTCGCCTGTGACGCACACGGCCACGACGAGAGCAACCCTTTCCTGTTTTAGGCGCAAAAGCACGGCGTCACCTAAATATCAATAGAAGTAATTCTAGCATATTTATGCATTACGTTTGAGTGGTATGCAAAGATAAAAGTTCTACTTGATCGTTATCCGTAAACTGGTAGAATATTATTAGATCTTTAACCAATTTTAGTAGGTGCCACCAAATGAACGAAAATGTCCGTCACTTAGCAACGGACACTAAGTCGTCCCTTAGTGCCGGACAGTAAACTTATTGATATTTCTTGTGAGAATTTACGTAATTTGTTTCAATTATTCAATTTTGTTCTGTATGAGTGCTAATGATCACTACATACCTTCATTTTTCGTATTTCCTAGTCAAAGAATAAAAAGGTTATAAATGCACCATCTGAGAGCATCGGTGTGGCCCAGCCAAGGGGGTGGATAAATAGTGACATTTTTTGCAATATCTAATTAGTAAGAATATTCGTCAAAGACACATTTGCAGACATTCAAGAATGTGGAGATGGTTACATATGTGATCAATGAAGGTTATTTTGAAATGTCCGGTTTTAGGTGCCACTGTTTAAAGTCATATTTTTTGATAGCAAAGTTTGATTGATAGTATTAATTATTTTTTAGCAAAGATTGCGTTTTTGTTAATTTAGTTTGATTTCTAACTTTGTTATCTAACATAAATCATAATTTAATAAACATTTCGTAAAATATTTTTTTATTTATTTATAAGTTAACCTTAGGTGTCCGCCACTTGGGGACTCCTCCCTTTTGTTTCAATTATTTAAAATTAAACTCTTTATACGAGGTATTAAAAATGATATACTGTAATATCTTAAATAAAGAGTTTATTTTTATATACATAATTGGAGTAATACGCGTTCCTAAAACTAGTGGTATGCATACTTTCTTCAAGTTTACCATATATAGAAAGAGGTGTGGTTCCCTTAATATAAAAATAAATACTAAATTTGATGTACAAAAAATATATTTTTGTATTAAAATCTTTTTATCCTATAATATATCATTTTATACATCAAATTAAGTATTTATATTGTTATTATGGTAACTACATCTGTTTTCATACCAATGTTTGCGATGGGTTGAGTAGGATATAAGTTTGGCCGAATGTTGATTTTGTCGAGATATCTACATTTGTGGGACTTGCAAATTCTCATACTTGATACTCATAATTTAGAATCAGGTACAATTTATTTCAAACAAAAACAATTCCATTTCTAAGCAAGTACTTTGATCATATATAAGTTTTTGCACATAATAAAACGATTAACTAAGTTTAGTGTTTTAAATTTCACAAACTAAAATCCGACTCTGACCGAGCACTAGCACACAGTCCCAGAATTTATTCGGGCGTAGTCGTTTGCTCAAATTAACTTTAGCGTCGCGTTAGTGTCCCAGGTGAAGAACACGTCTCTTTGTCGGTTCGTTATAATTAATACCGACTGACGAAAAAGCTCGCGAGGACAAAGAAACTAACACGGACACCGGAACGGGATACCGGAGGAACGCAAATGACAAAAACTGTCATGCACACTTAATTCCCGTGGAGCTTTTTTCATCGCCACCGTTAACTTAAAGAGTCGGATTAAAAGGATAACTAGTGGTGTATGGCATCGTGCCTTAAGGCAATCTGCTGGAACTGCCTGCACTGTAACAAAATGTTCGAGGAATAATAAATGTTTTTCAATTAGATTATTATAAACAAATACTGTAACATTGTTTAATATTTATAAGGATTATATAAACTGAATTGCAAAGTTGAAATTATTTGTTTAAAGTATATTAGAACTCAAGTCAAAATTACTTTTTTGAAAAAAAAAAATTCCAAAAGCAATTATTTTGTTAAAACAAGCAGAAAATTCTTTGAATCATTAATATATAGGACGCTTAGTTCTCTCAAAAATTCTTTCTCTCAATTTTTTGCACATTTAGCTCTGTATCTCCAAAACCGCTGCTGCCTTTGCCAAAAACTAATCACCCCTTCTCCCCGTCATTACGATTTGAATGTTTTTTGTATCATTTAAATCGGATGCTCCGATCTCTCAAAAACTCGATTACTATTTTCTGTACTCTTTGCTCCGTATCTCCAAAACGGCTGAACCTTCCTTTGCCAAAAACTAACCAGCACATTTCCCTATCAATAGGAATCGAATGTTTATTGAACCTTTCAAATCGGTTGATCAGTGCACCCAAAAAAGTAGACGAAAAATTGTATCCATACATACATACACACACACATCCATTTTTTCTGAGGTATGCCAAAATGTTCAGAAACCTTCAAAACGTCGAGAAATGTAAAAATTTCCAATTTCGATTTTTGGACGATTACAATAACTTACCCTAGGGGGCGTCCATTAATCACGTGAGCGAGTTTTTAAGGATTTTTTGACCCCCTCTCCCCCTTGGTGATGCATGGTGATATTCAAAATTACCCGCCTCCCCCTCCCCCACTAAACATCTCGTGTATTTTTAGTTACGTGAAAGAACTAACATTTTTGATTTTCTTTTAAATGTTTGAACTTTTTTGAAAATACGTATACATAATAAATCTATTTGCGTGTATTTATTTCTTAGAAGGACCAAT